CTGAAATACACTGCTGAGGGGAGCAGCGGGTGAGACAGGAGAGGTCTCCTGTGCCATGTGGGTTAGCTCCTTGGCCTGAATCAAACTCATGCTGTAGTGTCTGCCAATAGCTTGATAGTTCTGAGGCTTAACCCCTTGCACCACCAGGGAGGCCCCATGGTAGTTTCTTGATATGCATAAACATGAGATTTTTTGTACAGCAAAAGTCTGCATTAGTGAATCTCAGTAGTCTTAATCATAAGTCATGTAATTTGTGTGCCAATAAAAAAACTAAATCTGCATTTAAAAGTACACTGAAACTTTATAATGCTTAAAAATATGACCATAAATTTTCATGCAGTTAAATATTCCATGATTTTTTTTCTATAATAGGTAGGAGTGGAGCAGGATCTGGAAAGGTGAATTAAAAAGCAGTTTAACAAGAGAAATGAGCCATTACTGGCAAAGTTGGAGAAGCACTAATGTAAAATACAAACTTTTGAATAGGAGAAATGAAACAGGTAGTGAGTTACAGTAGATGTTCTAAGTATTTAATGCGATTGGTTCGTGGTGAAATTTGACCACATCTAAGTTATTTATGTGAATGGAGTATCAGCGGGCTGTGGCTTTTCCTAAGCTTCCCCTCCCTCTTTGACATAAGCATACAAATGATCTTTGTAGAGAGAATTATTTCTATCTTTTTAACTTGTAGTCATTTCATAACTTGGTTATCAATGTGGTCCCAATAACAGATGGCAATCTTGGGAAAAAATGAGTCAGCTTCCCTGGAAACATTGGACTGTCTCTGGGTCTGTGAATCTTCAGGCAATGCTCTATTGCAATGCTTTATTGCATGAAGAATGGGTCAGAGGTATAATAATAATAACCAGCCCATATAAGACATAATATATGCCAGGTGTTGTCCTAGGTGCTTTTACTTTTTTTAAACTTCACAATCATTATTCCTGTTTGTTAGATGGGTATTCGAGGCACAGAGAGTCTTAATAACTTTCTGGTGACTAGTTTCTTTCTGGATAAAGCTAAGCACATCTGGTAAGTGTGGGGCGGGGGGGCGGGCTTTTCACTCAGGCACTTTGGCTCTAGTGTCTATTGACTTCATTGCTAAACGTGTCTCTTAGTTTGAGCCTTTCACTGCCAAATTCCCCTGCTCCCACACTTAATTACTTTAACTTCCCATAGGCATTTGAATTACACTTGCCCAGCACTTTTATGTCTTTATTTCTGACCCCTTTCCTTGCTACCCAAGCTTTCTTTTCCATTTAGGCACAATTCAGGTGAATTGTCTCACTGGATTTCATCTCTAGACAGAAATAATTTCTTTCTTCCTTGAGCTTGTACCTCCCTCTAGCTAGGCTTTTGATACTAATCTTGTATCACTAACTAACATCAACTATTTATTTACAAATCCTTCTTCTTTTCTATTTTCCTGGATTCCAGAAGATTGTCTTTCTCCTGCTTAAGTTTGCCTCCCCATAGAATATATTCTCTAATTTATATGCTGAATGAATTAACAGAGAACAAATTCATTTACAAACATAAACAACTAACATATATATAGTGGAGTATAGTTTACGCTTGACTTCCTTTGATTTTTTTGCTTGTCCTCTGATCTTGGGCCATAAGACTTAAGTAGGGAGCCAGGTGTCTACCTTTTTTGCTGTGTCCTTTTGCACTAAGGTGTAATGAGACCCTTTATCCCTTCTGTCTCCTGAAGCAAAATTCCCCTCCTTCATCCTGGAAAGGTTATGGAGGCAAGCTTTTAAGACCTTTAACACTGCCCCAGGCACTGCAGCTGCCCAGACTAGCTCCCAACCTGTGGGTTTTTAACAGTTGGCCTGCTGCTTTGTGTGCCTGGCATTTTCTAGTTAATTACGTTTCAGGAAAATTAATTCAAGCATGTTTCTTGGGTGGATCTGAATCATATATTACAAACTCAAGGAGACAAGAAATATAACTTGAGCTACATTTTACACCTTCATTCTTTAGGTCGAACTTAATCCCAAAGAATTAGGTACCCATCCTCCCCTGTTATATTTGCTTTTAGGTTTTGGAGGGTCTTATACAATGTGCAGGCATAAAGAGAGTGGGGGGCCATCTGCATTCTATCTTCAGCTCACATCATTATTCCATGTGGTCTTTGGTGTTTGGCCCCTACAAGTTGCCCTGGGATATTATTTACTCCAATCTATAAGATGCCTCCCTGTCCATTAATGTTCTCTCTATTCCTGTTGGGCCCATGGGAACAAATTAGAGTCTGGATAACAGACAGATTGTCCCAGATCTACCTGCAAAACACTCACACACCTCTTGCTACCTTTATGCCTTATGGGCATGTGGAATTATTCTGCTGCTCCTGTACCAACTGGAGCCTGGGGAACTCTGGGAAGTCATCCCTGCAGTCACTCTTCCCAAGGAGCTTGCCTCTGTCCAAGCTCCTGTCAGCTCATGGGGCACACTCGACCACTCTGAGATTCCATAGCCACCTCTGGGTGTGTCTGTTCCAGTGTTCGTTTTTCACTGGATATCAGATTTCAATCCATACATTCTTCATTTCCTCTCCAATACTTTCTTCTCCCTTTTCCTATTAGCTAGCTTGGAGAATCATTTTCTATTCTAAGATACTTCTTATTCTTTAAGCAAGCTTCTAATTTAATGTCCTTTTTTTTAATTCTCCAGAGGATAGAGGTTTTTAGAAATCAAAAGCAAGAAGATACCCCTGTTTCTTTGCTATTTGTTAGCACATCCTTTTCCTGAAGTAACAACTACAGAAAGACTTAACTACTGACTTTATTTGCTGGGCAGTCATGCTGTAAGGGAGTAGTGAGAAGAACCAAGGGAAACAGTAGACACTGGAGAAAATAGTTTGATGATACAATTTTATCAGGCCACACAATAGCACATAGACCTGTGACTATTATCCCATACTGGCTAGGACTCAGAACAGCTTCCTAGGTCCACACTAGACTAAACCAACATCTTGGGCCATTCTGTTTCCTTCAGCTCCCTCATAATTTCAGGAATCAGCTTCAGAGGTGGTTACTTAGTTTCTAACCTTCCCTTTTCTCCTCTTTACAAGAGTATAATAGTACCAACCTCACAGGATTATAGTCACAATTCAACAACCTACCCTAGCACTATAGGTAGTCAAGCAATGATTAACTATTATTAATAATAAGTGGCTTATGACAGATGACAGATTATCTTCATTTTCAAATTATGGAACACACTTAGTATTTTCTGTACAAGAACTAGTTTTCATTTTCTAACTTATCAATACCATTCCAAACAATAGCACAATTTTAACACCTTCCTGGGTATTAAAATAACCCATCCACCCTTTTTTTTACTGCTGCTTTTTTTCTATATAAGTAAACTGCCCATTTTCCAGTCAGCACTTCTGGCCAGTACTGTAAACAATGCCAGTAGCTGTTGAGAAACTCTGTTAATGCAAGTGATCATAAGCTAACACAGCAAAGGTGTTCTGGCACAGTATGGGCAATAAAGTCAAGTCTGTACTTTATCTTTATCCTTATGTTCAAGGATAGAGTACATAAAGGAAACTCAAGATGGATCCATCTTGAGTAAGAGAAATAATCTGTAAGATAAATAATCACCTCTTATCTGTTTTGTAAAGACAATTCACTTATATTTTTCCTATAGATGAAGAAACTCTTATAGCTTGTAAATACTCAATACATTCTTTACCTAAAAAAAAAAAAGTCCAGAAAGTAACAGTCTCAACTTCCATTTCTTTGTTCATATTTTATCATTTCATGCCCATCAAACTACTTGTCCTGTAAGCAATAGAAGAGTCTGTGTATTGTCTGTGTTCTCAACTGGTAATGCAGTTGGCAAAGATTGTGTGAATTCTGTAAATCTTAATGAATACAGTGACTCTCAGCTATGCACTGGCAGGTTTTAATATTCCCCCAAGAGACTACTACTTTCCAACAAAACTCAAATGATAATTTCCTTTTCCCAATTCACCAAAGACCTTAAGTTGGACTAGAACCCTCTGCATGTGTGTGCACATGCCTGTGAATGTGTATGTACATAGAAATGTATTTGTTTCATATCAAGAACATAAACTATTGATACCAACAGATATTTCATATTCTACAGAAGGCAGTGTTATTCTCCAGCTGTTCCTCTTCCCAGGTTTCAGAGTCACCTGGAGAGAGAGATTTTTTAAGTTCATGCACCAATGCCAAGAAAATATCCAATTACTCTTTGACATTTCTGGGGCTCTCAAGTTTGACAAGTCACTGGCTCCCAGACTGCTTCCAAATCTGTACCTTTGAAACATGGGTATTAATTCTTGCAGGAAGGTCATTTGCCATGTGCACTTAATGGAAGAGCTTGTGTGTAGGAAGGGGACTAACTTCTGCGGGGTGCTCCGCTGGGTGGACAACTTGTCTCTTCTCTTTTTGCTCAGGGCTACAGGTGACTAACTCTTCTTTTGCACACTCATTCTTGCCTTCCACTATCAAAAGAATCAGACACACACACACACATCTATAAACTTTAAAGTACCTTTAAAGAACAGTAAATTCAAATCTTCTTTTATTTGCATGAAAATAAAATATTCTTCCATTTGTAGTATGTTGTTGGAATTATAATATGCTGAGCCAGGAAAAAAGCTAAGGGCAGAAACCTGGAATTCACAGGTTCTAGGTTTGAATCCCAGGGCTATCACTTATCCATTGAAATGAGCAAGTTCACTTGATTTCTAAGCCTTTCTGGTTAAAATGAGACAGATCATACTGTTCCCATGTCCCTCTCAGAAGAGATTAAAAGAGTCTTGGTATGAAAAGATTTTGTTAGCTCAAAAGTGAAAGATAAATATAATTTGTTGTTGTATTAAGAGCCCAGTGAGTCCTCAAATGTAGTGGCAGTTGTAAGAATTCAAACACCTAGAAGTGGTGGGTGTGGCTCTCTTTGGTAAAACAGAGTTGATATCTGGTCTTCCTCTTTATACCCACTTCTGCCCCAACCTGCAGAGCAACCTGATACACTACCTGGGACTGAGCCATCACCTGCTTGCTCTGAATTTTATCATCGTTTCTTTCGGCAAGAAAAGCGCGTGGTCAACTGCTGAGGTGAAGGTGACTGATACTGACTTTGACGGCGTGGAAGTCAGAGTGTTTGAAGGTTCCCCAAAACCCGAAGAGCCACTGAAACGCAGCATTGTTTATATCCATGGAGGAGGCTGGGCTTTGGCAAGTGCAAGTATGTCTTGCTCACCTGCAGGTTGTTTGAAGTTATGATTGACAGTGGGAGAGATGTGTGATTGATTGAGCTTGGTGTTCTTATTGGGTAAGGAGAGGGAAGCTTTTATCTTAGATTCTTGGACAGTCTCAATTACCCCTATTGTCCCTACACAGTTATTCCTAGTGTTCCTTTTTTACTCTTGAGAGGGTCCTGTTTTGGATGATTAACTATTTGGTTACCCTCCAAAGTTTTTTGCCTGTTTGTTGTTAATTCAGGCAGACCTTTTTAAAAATATTTCCTGGGACCTAAATCATCAACTGTGTAGGTGCTAATGGTTGTTTTCTGCACCAAAACAATGTAAAGTTTCATTGGGTTAAGTATGAGGGAATTATCTGTGGCTATTTTGTCAGTGCGCTGTAAGACATCTTTCTATGAAATAGAACAAGGATGTAAATTCATGTAAACACATGTAAATTCACCAACATTTTATCTGCTTTTGAAACCAAAGATGAAAATTTAAAATGCATGCCATCATTTAAAGAAAATTAATTTGCAAAGTTTGAGAGAATTCTAGTTAGCTTTTGATAACATTCATGAGTGGAACACATTCAAAATAGTGGACAGGGCCTCCCTGGTGGCACAAGGGGTTAAGACGCAGCTTATGAAGCTGTCCGCAGCCACTGCAGCACAAGTTCAATCCCCCGGCCGGCCAGGGAGCAACACACATGGTGCAGCAGACCACTCCCATCTCACCAGCTGCTCCCCTCAGCAGTGTACTTTGATCAATCTGCCTGTTCTTTACCCCACTCTGTCTCTGGTGAATCCTCTCATCCCCTCCCCTCCCACACACACACACCTCTGGCCTGTACCCCAACTCTTATGTGCATAAATGAATAAATCTTTAAAAGAAAAAAATGGCCGACAGCCAACAGAAGATTCCCAGGGGAAAATCCTCCCCAGGAGGAAGTAAGAGCCTTTGCCCTGGAGCTACTTCCTGATATTCAGCCAGGGCTTTTGGCATCCCCTAAGTTTAAAGATAATGACAACTAAAATATTTTAATACAGCTAAGACTGAAAAGCATAACATTTTGTAGTAATTGTTTCATTTAACTTCCTATTCATCATTTACTCTTTTATTTGCTGATTTATTCACATTTTCAACAAATGTTTACTCAGTATGTAGGTTTGCCCAGAACTGAAGGGTCTCTTGAGGTTCAGGACTTTCGAACTAAATCTGGACCTTTGGTCACCCTAATGTGTGCTAGGTGATGAGCAGTTAAAATAAAGGACTGAATCACCACCCTAGAAAAGACTGAGTCTGTAGCAGTAGGTTGCCATCATGCAAGACATTACACTGGAGACCAGGAAGTATAGATGCCAGGAATGGTATGAATTATAAAAGTTAACTTGAAGTTTCACATAATTTTGACTGATCATTCTTGCCAGCAGAAGAGCTTAGACTAGGGAATGTATGCAGATGGTTATGTTGTTATTCAATTTCTACTTTTAAGACTACCTTGGGAAGCCTATAAGTAAGATAATATTTGGCTTTCTGTTGATAAACTTGAGCTCTTAATTTATTAAAGTTTAACAACTAAGGTATTATATTTTTACATATTAAAATTACTTCTGTCACTGTAAAACTTAGAACCCTCCTTCTAAGAACTGCTAAGACTTCCTAAATTTTCATTTGTTTTGTGTTAGTTTAAAGAGAATGCCATGTTCTGCAAATAGGTGGCTTTTCTAAATCATAGCATATGAGAGTGTTAAAAGAGAAAAAATATATGGTTCTAAGAAGGTAACTGCTTAGCTGTGATTTGGGAGAGGCATACACATATGAAAAGCTACAACATCAGAATTAATGTGATGCATTGCACCTAGTCCATTATGAAATAAAATGTTTTATTAGTTAAAAGCACATACAAAAGTATGGATTTTTCTGTTGCTTCAGAGAAGTTCCATTTATCTGATAACATTTAACTTTTGCATTTGTGCATGTAACTCTCATTTGCTTTTTATTAAAACTCATTATTAGTAACTTAATTCCAAGTCTAAAAAAATCCAGTTAGGAATTTAGTAGTGAGAGGTGTTAAATAACCTATTTTATAGTGATTGCTCCTTTATCTCTTTTAGAAATCAGGTACTATGATGAACTATGTACAACAATGGCTGAGGAATTGAATGCTGTCATTGTCTCCATTGAGTAAGTAATTCATACTAGTCAAAGAAAAGAACTCATAATCATATTTTATTGACTTGCCATTCATTTACAAAATTGTATAATTTGGGGTGTCCAACTTCACACCTTGACATGTTCACATGTTTCCCTTTCCTTCCACCAAAGCTCCAGGGCCAATCCACTATGGTATTACCTTCCCATTCCATTCTCACCTCCCTCCTCTCTAGTCCTCTCAGAGTCTGAGAGTTATTTTTTTGTATTTTTCAGTTTGTTTTCTGTCATTATTTATATTTTGCAAATGAATGAAATCATCTGTAATTGTCTTTCCCTTTCTGACTTACTTCACTTAGCATAAACACTTCAAGATCCATCCATGTTTTCCAAAAAAGACACTCTTTCATCTTTTTTAATAGCTAGTAGTATTCCATTGAGTGTGTGTGTGTGTGTGTGTGTGTGTGTGTGTGTGTATACCACAATTTCTTTATCTAGGTGTCTGACAATGGGCATTTAGGTTAATTCCACATCTTGGCTATTTTGAATAATGCTGCTATGAACATAGGCATGCATAAGTCCTTTCATATTAATGTTTTAATAGTCTTCAGATAAATGCCTTTCAGTGGTATTGCTAGATAATACAATATTGCTATTTTTGTTTTTTTTAAGGAATCTCCACATTGTTTTCCATAGAGGCTGCACCAATTTACATTCCTACCAATAGCAAATGAGAGTTCCTTAAAAAAAAAAAAATTAATAAGGGATCCTAGATAACCATCTAGTTACTTTATTTTCTTTTTTGTTTTTAAAGATTATATATTCATGCATACAAGAATGGGGGTACAGGTCAGATGTGCGGAGGATGAGAGGATTCTCCAGAGACAGAGTGGGGAACAGAACAGGCAGACTGACTGAAACACACTGCTGAGGGGAGAAGCAGGTGAGACAGGAGAGGTCTGCTGCGCCATGTGGGTTGTTCCCCGACAGGCCATGATGGAACCCGTGCCACAGAGGCTGCAGACAGCTTCACAGTGCTGCACTCACCCGCCTGCGCCACCAGGGGAGGTCTAGTTACTTTATTTTACAAACAGTAAAGTGTAAACTAAAGGTCCAAAAGGTTGAAGTGATCTCCCCAAGTCACACAAAATAGTATCAGATATAAATTAGAATTTGTTGACCCAACTTTAGAATACCTCAAATTATCTTTTTATTTTAGTTTTGGAAACTTCTGAAAAAGGAATTAACTGAAATAGAAAGAAATATACAATTAGTTATCTGCAGCATACAAGCTTGATTACTACCTTTTAAAATCTAAAAACCAATAGCATTTTTTTTTTTTTTGTGGGACCCTCGCCGGCAGCCGGGGAGCGAACTGGCGCTGCAAAGGCTGCAGGCAGCCTTGCAGCCCAGCGCTCAACCGCTGTGCCACCAGGGGAGGCCCAAAACCAATAGCATTTTAAGAGAATTTCTCCTACAACCAAGAGTTAGAAAATTTATTCTCCTGAAGTCAGGTTCTGAACTCAGGCCTTGTTGAATAGTAACCCATTCATCAAATCTTGGTTGAGGTAGTTATTATTATCATAATTGTTGGTGATATTAATATTAATGTTTTGAGTTGTTCTACTTGTGTTATATTAGCCATTCTTTATCCAGAAAAATAAGAAGAATGTGAACAATACTTTAAACAACTGTGGTAATAGTGATAATACGGAAGTCACATACCTATTCTGAGCAGGCACATGCAGGTACTATTGCATGCATGGTCTCTGTCAGGCCTTTGTTCAGGTATTATTTTTTCAGCAAGGCTTTCTGTTACACCCCTATTTAAAAATTGTGAGCTGCTTTTTGTCTGCCTTATTTTTTCCCAAGAGTCTCATCAATATCTGATAAATCATGGACTGCTATGTGTTATTGTACTGGGTGGAAAGAGACAGTGTAAGTTCCATGAAGGCAGGGATTTTAGGGTTTTTTGTCTGTTTCATACTAGCTGATCATTAGTGCCTGGAAACATCCCTGGGCATTCAATAAATATTTATGGAATGAATGAATAGAGTCTCACTTTATTCTTATATAAAATATCAGATCAATATTTTGATATCTTCCTCATAGATGAAGAAATTGAGATCCAAGAAGTTTAATAATTAGCATGAGTCACACAGGGGGAATTGAAGCTGGTCCAGTGGCTCCTGAGGCTTCTATGCTTTCTTTGTCCTGGTGTCAAGGCAGTATCAAGGGAAACCAACATGTTGAGAGACAGGGTTATGGCAGCATCAGCTACTTTCCATGCCACAAGCTAGTCAAGCTCTCCCCTCCTCTCTTCTCTACCAACTGCCCTTCCATTCATGACTCATCTCTTCCTTACCCTACTCCATATCTTGGAGCTAAGAGAATCCTCTATTCTGCAGTCCTTTGGAAGGACAGGTCTTCTGAGTCAGCTAGGCAGCTCCATCTCTGTGAACAGGAGCCTTAGAGTCCCAAAGACTTAGTGGGCTGCTGTGGCCCCTCTTTAATGGCTTTGGCCCCAGACAGCTTTGGACAACTCCTCCCTGGGCCCTCAGCAAGGCCTGCCACATCACCAAGAGCCCTCAGTGCAGTTTTCTAATGCAATCTTGTCATGTAATTAATTGCATTATCTGGTCCAGGCAGATGGTCACAGGAAAGCAAGGCTATTTAAGCAGCTGAGCCCATTATGCTGCAAGGCCCTATGGCTCGGTGATGGAGAACCAGCTTCAGGGCTATTTCTGTGGTTTCCTGTGCCGTGCTAGTGCCTCACAGGCCTGAAGAAAGGAGAGAAGTTGGGTTTGTTTGACCTGGTGCCATGAGGATTCTCCACACAGGTCTTACCCTCCAAGGATTCAGTATAAACAATTGACAACATGCCTAAGCCCTTCTGCACATGTATCAAGTAAAATAGGAATTCTTTTAAGTCTATCCATAAAACACAAATTGGTGAATAGAATATCTTTAAGAAGTCTTAAAAAGAACCAAACGTAGGGGCCTTCATGGTGGCACAAGGGGTTAAGTCACAGCACTATGAAGCTGTCCACAGCCATTGCAGCACGAGTTCGATCCCCAGGCAGGGAGGTGACCTACAAGGTGCAACAGACCTCACCTGTCTTGCCCACTGCTCCCCTCAGACATGTATTTCAGTAGTTCTGCCTGTTCTGTTCCCCACTCTGCCTCTGGTGAATCCTCTCGCTCCCTGCTATACCCCAGTTCTTGTATGCATAAAAAAAATAAATCTTTTTTTAAAAAACAAACATAGAAGGGTCTACTTTCATCTTAACCTTTTCTTGTGCCTAACCTATACAATGGAGCCTCTAGAAGTTTCACAAGGGAGGCATTACTCACAGCTGTGAGACCTCAGGCAAGTCATTGTGTGTTTTTGTGCAAAAGAGGGTTAGGATCTTTTCTGTAAACTACTGGGAACAGAAATCATAACTTTTTTCCTTTGGTTTCCCAATACCCAGTACAAGTCTTAGAACATGTGTGCTAAGTAAATATACTTTGATTTATTTGGGTTAATGACTTCAAAGTTATCTTGAGAATCAGTTTAGACATCTGAGATGAAAGGGTTGCAGATACACTATAGCACTAGATAACTCTGGAGAATTAGTGCTCTCATCCAGAGAACAGAATGTCTAATTTACAGATTTGTTTATGAATGTTTGGAACTTACAGTGCTTTTATTTGCAGAAATAATAACCTCGGTGGTTATGATCCAGACCAACCCACAGAGCACCTAACTTATGCTCTAATTGAGGCTTAGCCAACATCATATGATCACAATGGTTCTCTTGAAAGTCTGTTCAGAGGTTTAACTTGTAAACATATTTCTTTTCACCATTCATTCATATTTTCCTTTTTCTTTTTCCCCATAAATATATATTTAATACCTATTATGTGCCAGTTACTATCTTAAAATCTGGTGACATAATAGTGTAAGTCAGACCTAATTTCTGCCCTCAAGCAGTTTACAATTTAAGTAAGAAAAAGACCTGGAACAAATAATGTTTAGAGTCACATGTGATATGAAGTAGATAAATACTAATGGAGATATTTAATAGATCTTACCTAGTTTGAAGGGTCAGAAAAGGTGCCTTTAAAGAAATGATGTTTGATTTGAGCCCCTACACATGAACAGCATCTAGTTAGACAAGTAATTGGAAATGGAAACCCAAAGGAAGGGCCTGGGGGGCGGGGGGCGGAGAAAGGCAGCATTTTATTCCCTAGCATTAAGGGAATAAAATATGAAAGAAAACAGATGGCTGGACTTACTCGTTGGGAATTACAAATACCTCCACACACACATACCTACCCTCATACATACAGGTGCGCATACAAGTGGATGATTCTGAGAGTCTTTAGCAGGATGGTGAACCCTTTTCTCCTGGAATTTCTCCTTCTAGTTGGGAGGGTGTGTGGAGACAGCTCCTTCTTACCTTGAGGCTCGCAGGAGTGGGTATTGGTATCATGATTTTGTTTCATGGACGACTTGGCCCCAGGGGAGCCTGGAGTCAATATTGTGTGGAGCCCTGGTAATGGCATCACCTTACATGAGGCAAGTACCAGGCACTAGATCCTTGGTTCAGGTCGCTGGTGCTGGTTCAAAGTTTTGGGAACAGATCCAGAAACAGAGATAGATAAAGACCTGCTTGTATACCATTTTATGCTTTGCGTACAAGTAGCCCATGCTTTCTGTTCAGTGACATCTACAACACTAAGAGTTTTTACATGTTAATTACTTAATAAGTATTTGCTAAGCAAATGAAAAAGTTTATCTTATGATATCTCATTTTGATAATCTAGAAAAGTTCTATTTTATATTCATAAGCTATTTTGAGATACTTCAGTGCAGTTTATCTGTAACATGGTACATTTCACCAATATTTATACACTAGGACATAATAGTAGAACTCTAAGACATTAGGGAAAAGAAGGATTTCTCTCTTTTTTTTTTAAAGATTGATTTATTTATTTATGCATGTAAGAACTGACTGGGGTACAGGCCGGAGGTGTGGTGGGTGAGA